AGTCCCTTTATCTGTGGTTGTACTTTTATATGGTATAGAAGTTGCTTCTATAATGGAAGAAGCACTACATGAAGTGGAACTGTTGATATCTTATTCTGCAAGATGCAGAGGACTGTTAATTCCAGTTTACTAGGAAAAATTAAGTTTATAAAGTTTGCTTATACATTTGTTCATCACCTTGCTAATAAATCAACATTACTTTTAAATGCTGAAGGCATTGGAGTCAAACTTTTTCATTCAAATGCTACTCTGAAGGATCTATACTTGCCAGTTTTAATGATGATTAAAGTACTGGGTATTCATTTTGTAAAGTGTACTCATTACCTGTGCCTGTATCTGTTAGCTTGTTTTGCCAAAATCATTTCTCTGTTCTTCAGCGCCACCGTTAGGAGAACGCTGGGATTACGGCTGGTCCTGGTTTAGAGAACTCAGCAGCACATGAAATGGGACAGGGACTTGTCACTTGCAGAAACGCATGCCACTAAAGGAAGATAAATACATAAAACACAGTATATTACTCTAAAAAAAAAAATAAAAGCAGCCTTAAATTGAATTAAATCTAAATAAGAATTTGTTTATTAAAATTCAATGCTTTGTTAGCTATTCAGTATGAATATGCAATATAATGAAATATAATAAATGCGTGTTTATTTGCAGTAACTGCAAGGATTCAGAGGTTGGAAAAATCCTGCATCTAAGATTAGGGAGGAAAAAAATGGCTCTTCACAGCTTCAAATCAGTTGCTTAATTTAATCATGAAAATGTAAATGCTCAAACTCTTTGGTTATTTGTTGTATGCCATGAATGGGAAAAAGGAAAGGTGCTTTTCAACCTGCTGGAGAACACCCATTCTTTAATCAGCTGGGCAGTCTGGAGATTACAAAAAGAGCAATGAGTCTCCATCCCTTATTGCCTCAGCTGCTTTGGATGAGGTAAGTAGCTGGTACAGATTGCACTTTGCTTTTCCAGAATCACCACCCACTCAGGGCAGGCTTACTAAGAACACAAAAGTCAAGTAACTGCTGTACCATTTAAGTACAGATATGTTGTTCTGAAGCGTAGTATACACACTGGCTCATACAAGAACAATCATTTATGTCTGGCAGAAACCTCTTTATTTGTAATCACCGACTGCAGGATTTCATTTTCACCTTAAAAAGTTGCTGAAAATATGACCAACAACTTAACAGGCATACACATTTTTGTTGTGTTGTTTCCTGTGAAGCCTAAACGCATTGCTGTGCCAAAATAGCTTGGGGAGCTCAGCTCATAGATGGGGTCTTGAGGCTTTAGATTTGCAGGCAAGTGCTGTGTAATGTCCTGTATTCTATACTGTACAACATTTCAGTAGTTAAAAATTTAATTGCTATCAAAATAAAAGTTCTGTCCATATATATATGGACTCCACAAAAAAAAAAGGAGTTTTTTTTTAATGCTCTTGGAAATGCTAGCAGCATTTGTTTGCTAAGAACTACTCCCAGCTACTTCCACAACTTCTGGATGAAGTCAGGATTCTGTGACCCATTCAGACCTGCATTGCCATGGACACAAGCCCCATGCTAAGAGTGTCAACAAACAGGCCAAGGAAGGAAAACACCTGGCAACAGAAAAGACTTGTCCTCCTGAACCCCTCTCTCTTGTTTTTTTTTTTCCACTGGATAGCCTCAGCCTTCTGGTCCTTCCCTGTTACGGCTGAATGTTTTGGCAGGAACCAAAGCAGCAGCAGTGGAAGGTGAGTCCCCAGAAGCAGCATCCGTGCTGTCACAGCTTGGCACCCGTCCAGACTTGGCAGGCTTGGATTCATTTTTTTGCTGGATGTTGTTCTTCATCCTTCCTTTACTTCTCTCTCTAAGGAATTTTCCCTGTGCCCAGACTTTACCTCCAGCCAAGGCACAGGAGGTCTCAGAGCCTGATTATTAGCAGACTATTTCACATGCTGTGTCGTTGCAGGTCTGCATCTGAAAGTTGTACTTCAGTTTTAGATAAACTTTTTGTACATCTGGGTAGCATTCCATATGATTAGGCACTAATAATGGTGGTGGTGCTGGTGTAACATAAATACCTTTAGATGAGAAACCAGACTCAGCAAACAGCACCAACAGTCAAATAAGGAACCTCCTCTCCAGGTGCTGTCTTTATTATAGTGCATTCAGTAATTATCGCCACTGAGTAGATATGTTTTTTTTTTTTAATTCATTAATCTCTAAGCACAGTGTAGGGCTATTATTATTTTCAATGAATAATATACTTCAAAACCATAAAAATCAATTTGAGGATTGAGCTGACTCTCTATGCTCTACTTAGATTTATAATTCCAGATCTGCAGGAAAAAAAAAAAAAAAGGAGGAAAAGGAATTGATAAGCAATTATTTCCAGCTTTATCATTTACTGGCTTTTTACCTAAATGTAACAGTACTTCTTGTAGCTCTAACAAGCAGTGCTTTGAGAAGGAATAATTACCAAAGCTAGTAATTGGCAAATGAATAGGCTTGTGTAAATACCAAGCCTACGATTCTTTGCTTTTGCATCATGGAGTCTGGTACCATTCTCTTCAGTCTGCTTGTCTTTGAACTGGGGTCTGCAGAGGCAGAGAGGGCTGCAGGGCTGCTCTTGGTTTTAGGTCCACCAGTTTAGTGCAGTTCTGGGAATGCTTCAGACCTGCTGAATGTCACTAAGAGAATTGGTCTCTATGAAATGTTGTTTCATCTTTGTCTGTGACAGTGTCTCCATGGCCCAAGAGGATGGAGAGGCAGTGATGGCCAACTACAGAACTGATGCAGAGATGGGCAAAAATACAGAAGATCTGGCAAAAGGCATGCAGACAACCTGTGGGAGCCCTGAGGAGAAGAGAGAGCAGGCTCTGCTACGGGCTCGCCTGGAAGAGCAGCATCGCCTTATCTGTATCCTGAAGAAAAGAACAGATGATGAACGCAAACGCTGCAAGAGCCTGGAGCAGCTTAACGTGGAACTGGAGAAACTGAGGCTAGAGGATGCTGTGAAACTAAAAACCCAAACCCAGCGGATTCAGTACTTGGAGGATTTGGCCAACAACCACGAAAAAATGATCTACTCCAAGGATGAGCACAAGAAACAGAACACACAGCTGAAGGAGGAAAACCAGCACATGCAGAAGGAGAACGAAACCCTCCTCAGTCGAGCAGTGAAGGACAAGGAGGCTGAAATGCTCCAGCTTGCTGCCCAGGCCAGAGAGCTCTCACAGCAGCTGGATGTTCTACATGAGAAATGTGCTTGTGAGAGATCCAGGGCCCAGCAGCTAGAAAAGGAGCTCCTGGAAGCTCAGAGCCAGCAAGCACATGCCTGTGTCTTGCAGGTTGACTCACTAAGACAACAGCTGCAGCGCCTACAGGAGGAGCACCAACAAATGGTGGAACAGCTAGAGCATGGAGAAAGCCAGCAGAAGGCTCACGATGCCGAGCTGCAGGCCAAGCTGGAGAGGGCAAATGAGGAGAAAGAGCAGCTGCTGAATCTGGCCAGAGAAAGGGGCAAAGCTCTGCAAGAAAAGCAACAGGAAATTCTTCAACTGGGGAGGAAGCTGGAGATGGCAGAAAGAGCCAAATGGAGAGCAGAAAGGAACATTGTTAAAGAAGTGGCAGCAAACTACGATCTGAAGGTCCAAGAGCTCCAGCAAGAGCTGAAAAGCAGCCAGCAGGCATACAGTGAGCTCTCGCTGCAGTTTGATGCTTACAAAAAGCACAGTATGGATTTACTGTCCAAAGAAAAAGCATTGAATGTCAAACTCCGTCACTTTAAGGCATAAAACATCAGCTTTCTGCTCGGTTCTTAGCAGGTGCCTCTACTGTACCACTCCACTGATTCTGTTCCTGTTTGTGCAGCCATCTTCTAGCAGATCTCTGTAATGTACTTACAAGCTTAAATCCTTCTGCAAGAACTGGTCTGGAGCCTTTAATAATTCTTTTTGTCACAGTTTTTAATAAGAGCTCTGTGCCATTAAATCCGAGCAGGGGTTGTCGAACTAGCCAAACCATGTCAGATCTGTAACATGAAAGATTACGGGAGATAACTTCAAATGTGAATTTGATTTTATTTGGTCCTAGATTTTTTTCCCAGAGATTTTTTTTTATTTATTTATCAAAAGCACTCGTAGTCTCTAACTAAATCTTTAACTAGACTCTAACAAACTAAGGGAGTTTGATTCTCCCTTGAAGTTCAAGAGATGTGGGATGCTTTAGAGGCATCTTTGGAGATCCAAGAATGGAATCCAATCTTGCAATGGTTGTGGCATGAACAATAACAATTCAGAAACTTACTGGGTCCAAACAGTAAAATCACTGAAGCAAGATATTACATGTAGTTGTTCTACAACTGCCTACAGTTCTCTGAGACTTATTTAATGCCAGTGTTGTTTATATCCCTGTTCAACTCAAAGTATGAGATTCTTTGGATAATTTCAGTTGTTTTCAAAGTAGGTTGAGGGTCTAAGTGGTACAAAACCTAAGGGTGCAGGTATGGCAATTTCTGGCCAAAATCTTTCCATTTCTTGTCAGCACCGTGGGACAGCGAGATTCCCTATCCTCTCCTGCCTCTCTCCCAACTGAGGAGGTGGTTTTGGCTGTTGAGTTTCAGCTCCTGAAGCCTCCAACACTCACCCCACAATATGCCAAATGGCACCCTGCAGCTGGGCTGCAGGCAGCTGCCGGGATTGCTCTCCAAGTTCTCATCATGTAAGCATGTCTTAGAGACTGACTTTTTACAGTCTGATGCACTGGGGTGCATTAATAAGAGTGTGGCTGAGGGAGGTGGTCCTGCCTTTGTGCTCTGCCCTGGAGAGCCCACAGCTGTGTCCAGTTCAGAAATCACAAAATCATAGAATGGCCTGGGTTGAATAGGACCTTGAAGATCATCTAGTTCCAACCCCCTTGCTATGTGCAGGGTCGCCAACAAGCAGACCAGGCTGCCCAGAGCCACATCCAGCCTGGCCTTGAATGCCTCCAGGAACGGGGCATCCACAGCCTCCTTGGGCAACCTGTTCCAGTTCTGGGTTCTCTAGTTCAAAGAAGATGGGGAACTGCTGGAGAGAGTGCAGTGAGGGGGCACAGAGATGATCAGGGTCTGAAGCATCTCTGTATGAGGGAAGGCTGAGAGATGGGAGGCTGTTCAGCCTGGGGAAGACTGAGAAGGGATCTTATCAATGCTTATAAATACCTAATGGAAAGATAGAGCCAGGCTCTTTTCACTGGTGCTCATTGACACAACAAGGGGCACAAAGTGGGAAAGGAAAATTCCCGTGAGGAAAAACTTCTTTTCTGTGAGCGTGGCAGAGCACTGGAACAGGCTGCTAGAGGTGGGGAATCTGCTTCTCTGGAGATGTTTGACACCTGCCTGGATGCCTGGACCTGCTGCAGAGAATGGGCTTTAGGCTGGGGCTGGGCTCCATCTTCCCAGAGCTCCCTTCCAACCCCTACGACTCTGTGACAGTGACAGGACAAGGGGTACGGTTTAAAACCAAATGACAGATTCAGATTTAGGTTAGGAAGAAATTCTTTACTCAGAGGGCGGTGAGGCCCTGGTGCTGCAAAGAGATTTTTTAAATTTATTTATCAAAAGCACTCATAGTCTCCAACGTTTGATTCTCTCTTGAAGTTCAAGAGATGCGGGATGCTTTAGAGGCATCTTTGGAGATCTAAGAATGGAATCCAATCTTGCAACGTCTGTGGTGCCCCATCCCTGGAGATGCTCGAGGCCAGGTCGGATCTGCGCAAGCTGAGCTGGTGTGGGGCACGCAGCCCATTGCAGGGATGAGGTGTGGATGTGCCTTAAGGTCCGTCCCGACGCAGCCATTCAGGCACTGTTAAACTCCCCCACAGACGCGCTTTTCCCGCGCGCGGGCGCAGCCCTCAGCCATTCCTTCCCCCCCTCCTCCCCCCCATCCCCTCACGTCCGCCGCTTCCCGACATGCACCGCGGCACCGCCGCTCCGCGCCGCTCTCCCCGGGCCCCGCGGCCGCCGCCTTCTCCCCCCTCCTCCCTCCGCCGCCGCCATGCGGCACAGCCTCACCCAACTGCTGGCGGCTTCCTCGGGCGGAGCGAGCCCTTCGGGAGCCGCGTGGCCTCTCGCCGGCGCGGGGCAGGCCCCGAGAGGGCGGGATGGCGGCGGGGAAGGGGATCCGGGAGCGGCGAGGCCCAAACAACAGCAACAGGAGAAAGAGGCGGCCGAAGGCCCGCCTGAGGTGTGGGAACAAGAGGACTGGTTCCCCGGGCTGGAGCTGGGAGACCTGCTGGAGGCGGCCAGGCCGGAATGGGACGCGGGCGCGGAGCTGAGCGGCTGTTTCTGCGGAGAAGCGGGGCGGGGCCGCAGGCGGCGGAGCGGCGGGGCCGGCAGCAGGCTGAAGGCGGCGGCGGCGGCGCGGCTGAACCGGCTGAAGAAGAAGCAGTACGTGCTGGGGCTGGAGAGCCGCCTGCAGGGCCTGGCCGCCGAGAACCGGCAGCTGCGGGACCGCAACCGCGGCCTCAACCGCCGCCTGCGGGAGCTGGAGCGGGAGAGCGGCTACCTGCGGGCCGTGCTGGCCAACCAGAGCGCGCTGGGGCAGCTCCTGAGCCGCCTGGCCGGGACGCGGGCCGGCGGGCTGCGCCTGGGCACCAGCCTCTTCAGGGACGGCCGCCGCCAGCAGCAGCACCAGCAGCAGCAGCCGCCCGGCCGGCCCGGCGGCGATAGCGGCGACCACGACTACGCGCTGCCCAACGCGCGGCCGCCCGGCCCCGAACAGCCGCCGGGCGCGGAGCCCGAGGAGCGTTGGGCGGCTCCCGGCGGGATCTGCCTGCACGTGGAGCGGGATCAGGTGTCGGTGGAGTTCTGCTCCATCTGCGCTCGGCGAGCGGCCGCCTGCTTCAAAACGTAGGGTCGGCTACCCGCCGCAAGTACCTCCTCGCGGAGAAGGGGAAGCTGTCGCCTTCGGGTGACGGAATTCCGAACGACGGGTGAGCGCCTCGACCAAAGGCCGCGTCGACCCGGCGGCGGTGCGAGCCGGGGGCGGTGGTGACGCGGAGCTGCAGGCGGGGAACGGACGGTGCCGATGCCGACCTGAGGCTGGACGGCGTGCGGCTGTCGGTAGAGATAACGTTGACCCGGCCGGGTTTGTGTCAGCCCGCTTATCCCAGCTGAAAATGCTCGCTTAGAAAACCGAAACCTTCATTAAGACGTCGTCGTCGGACGGCAAGTAGTAACGATCGGCAAAAGAAAGCATGCGTATAAAATTGTGCTGCCTCTTGGTTATACGTTACTATTAAAACCTCTCTGACAGTTTCTCTTTTAGGTGCTTGCCCTGCCAGGCTCCGTTGTGTAGGGGTTAAAGAGCAGTCGTTTCCCACCTCGCAACCTGGTAAGGATCAATATATTCCCATAATGCGGTGTCAGACAGCTTGCTTTGCTTGTGCCGGTCTCGTTCATGCGGTGACTGGTCCAGGAGATGGTATTTCTGGTCCCTGCCCTGCTGTGATGTTTCTAATTTCTAACTCAGTTGTGGAAAACATCATTCTGAGTAGCTGCTTTCTATTCTAAATCAATATGCACACAGTAGCCAGTCAGTGAGCTGTGTTTTGAATTAAAAGTAAATGCTTTCTGCCATTTGAAATAGGAATTTTCTATTGAACTATGAGCTGATGAGCTGCAGAAGGGAAAATATGCTAATGATACAGCATTTATAGTCTTTTGTCACAGGGGAAGTCCCAAAAGAACAAGTAAATTGCTTTTAAATGAAAAATGTGACCTGATGGTTTAAAATACAGTCCAGTGTTAAGGATGCACGGTCCCTTTAGAATTGTCCTTTCCTGCCTTTCTTGAATTCATGATGCAGAGCTTTTCCTATTTGAACAGAACCCAAACGCTGCTTACATCTGTTCAGTGGAACCTTAATGTAGAGAAATCACTTTTTTTATATAGAACTCCAGTGAGAACTGTGGTTGGCATCACGGAGGGTTGCAAATAACTCAGTATCTCTCACAAGTAATCTCTGTGCCTGTGCACACTGAAATTCCTCTGTTACTTAGAGTAGCTTTAAATTTTAAAGAAACTGCACGTATATGCATGTGCTTAATTTTACAGTAGAGATCATAGAATCATAAAATTGCTCAGGTTGGAAAAGACCTTAGAGGTCATTGTGTCCAACCACAACCTAACCATTCTACCCTAACAGCCCTCCACTAAATCGTGTCCCTGAACACCACATCCAAACGGTTTTTAAATACATCCAGGGATGGTGACTCAACCACCTCCTTGGGGAGCCTATTCCAGTGCTTAACAACCCTTTCTGTAAAGAAGCTTTTTCCTGATATCCAACCTAAACTTACCCTGGCGCAACTTGAGGCCATTTCCCCTCATCCTGTCACCAGTGAGAAGAGACCAACCCTGCTCTTGCTGTAAGCAGCTTTCAGACATTGGAAGAGAGCAATAAGGTCTCCCCTCAGCCTCCTTTTCCCCAGGCTAAACAGCCCCAGCTCCCTCAGTCTCTCCTCATATGGCACATTCTCCAAGCCTTCATAAGCCTTGTTGCCCTTTTTTGGACCTGCTCCAGCACCTCCATGTCCTTTCTGTACTGAGGTGCCCAAAACTGAACACAGTACTTGAGGTGATGCCTCACCAGTGCAGAGTACAGGGGCAGGATGACTTCCCTAGTCCTGCTAACCACACCATTCCTGATAGAAGCCAGGATGCCATAGATGTTAATTTAGCTTACTCTTACAGTATCCAGAAATCCGTAACTTCATTCGGTTCAGCAGAGTTTGGAGATGAGCAAATATGTAACTAATTAATTGAAAAATTCTTCCTGATTAACTGAGAGGAAAAATGTTGATGAACAGCAGCGTGTATTCTCTGGTGGTAGCATTTCTCCCCATCACACAGGATGAGCAGGTAGTTGTGTCATAATGTTGAGGTGGTTTTCTGTACATCAGCTGGGGGAAGAAAGATTGTGAGAATGATAATATATGTAAAGTGAGGTTTCACAAAGAATACATTTAAACCAGTCCCGTGTATTAACTTCTTCAAGAAAATATTCTAATTAGTGTTTTGGAAGTCTTGTTTCTTAAAGCCTTAAATTTGGTATTTAAGGCTAAGTGGAAGGGTTTTCTCCCAGCAATTGGAACTGTTGGTACTATACCTTACCAAGTGCTCCTCAGTACAAAGGATATGATTTTTCTTTGTGAAACATCACTGTGTGATGAAGTATACGTGTATTTAGCATCCTTGTTTTTCTTTATGCTAAAGTGGATTCAGCTGTGTTGGGGCAGAAGAGACGGGACCAGCTGCTGGCCACATTTCCTGCTTTATTTTAAAAGGTAGTATAAGAAATGAGAATAAAGAGGTAACAGGGCTTTTGCTGTCTTTGTTTAAACAAACAAAAAAAGGTTGAATGCTGGGATTCATTAACTGTCATCCAGGATGTTTTTTAGAAGACAGTATCCTATCAAGCAGTGTTTTCAGAATTCCATCTGTTCAGGGTGTGCTGCCAGCACAAGAGAAACTTAAGACATGCATTACTGCAGTGGCATTGGCAGGACTGTTCCAAGGTTCAGTCTTCAGCTGTGTGCTCTGCTGTAGGTGGTGGGTTATGCCAGGACCTTCTCAAGATGTGTGCTGACTGATACACAAAATGGAAATGAGTGAGTTAGATTGAGCCTAGGTTGAATCTGCCTGGCTCAGGCTTCACAACCATGCTTCAGTTTGAATTTTAGTATGCATGAGGAGAAGGGAAACACTAATGCAGCAAGTGTAGGATGTTACAGTGGCATTTCTACAGTCACTTCAGTGCAGAAGTTTATTTTAAGTTAAATATGCATTATTTCATTTTGCATCACTGCAAAGCGGTAGGAGTCAGAGATCTCTGTTATGAAGCTGCACATCACTCCAACAATGAAACCCACCCCTGAGCTGTGTCTGAGAGTAGCTGATGTTCTGGTACACACAGTGACATAGACCTGTACAAGAACAAGGTCAAGTCCCAGAAAGTAAGTGTCTGCAGGCATATCTAGTGCCTACTGAATCATATTTAAACCAAATAGAGGGGAGGAGCTTATTTGAAACTAACCAACTGTACCATCTGTATGGTGTATTAATGTAGCTTTTTGAAGTGGAAGCCTTGAAATGACTTTAACTTAATACTTGAAAATATATTGTAAATGTTTCTTTGTAATGACGTGCCATCCAGATGAGAATACGATATCGTAATAAAATCAGACCTGTTGATCTTTCAGTTGATGGGCTCAAATGTTTTCTTCATCTTTTTCTTCTCACTGGTACCTTGCTTTAATTGAGTGCTTCATTACACAAAATGGGAATCTGCAAAATTCTGCTGCATGGGTAAGCTGATGGAACACAAGATTAAATGGATCAGCGCATCCTGAAGGAAGGTTCTTGCTCGTCTGTCTTTCAAGTTAATTTGTGGTAAAGAAGAAACAAAGGCATTATTCCTTGAACCAAAGATAGAACTGTTCTTCAGCAATAACTACGTTTTGTATTTCCCTTATTAGTGTGAATATGTCTAATCAATAAGCCACAGAGGAGGGGAGTTTTTACATTCCATGGATTGCCATCTCCCTCTTTGCTATCCTTACTAGGTTCTGAAGTTTGATAAATAGTCAATAATGTGCTCTTAAGCTATAACGTTCCATCATACTGTTGTTTCTATATTCAACACTAGGGTGAGTGTATGGTAGAGGGTTCTGAAGGGACAGCATTTGTAAAGCTCCAGAGTGAGCCAGTGCTGCTGTTGACTTTGATTTCTATTACTCTTAGATGCATTATTTGTAAAGAACACATTAAAGAAATGTGCTGGCTTTCAGTGCTGAACTGCCTAACTATACTCAATTTTCCAGCATTTCTCCACCCCAAGGTCACCTGGAGCCTATTTAGAGTTCAATAAAAAGCAATTTCATTCTCGGTTCTGTGAGTCTTTTACAGACAGCACATTAACTTTTCTTCTGTTTTTTGAAGAGCTTAGCAGCATCTGGAGGAACATCTTAACAATATCCTAACAACTAACAACTGCCCACAGAACCTCTGTTCTAAAAACCTAGCAAAGAGCTTCCCTGTGAGAATCAACAAGATTCTATTTGTAGTATTATATTTGTAAATGTTTCAAGGATTTATTAGCTGCTGTGGATACTCAAATGGGCTGTGTTTAAACAACACCCTGTGTAAAACTGCACCTTGGCAGTAGTGGAGTCTGTGATTTTTCATCCATGTGATGTGGGATATAGAGAGCTGGAGAAATAACACTGCCTCTGCTCACTGGCAGGAAGGTGCCAGGAGCAGGACTTGATGCAGGGGGATGTGGAGTAGATGTAACATTGAGATTTGCCATCTGAAATGAAAACAAGATAAACACTAGAAAAGTACCAATTTTATCTTCATTTTTCTCTATAGCCAGTCCCTTGGCATCCTTCTGGTAGAATTCAGACTTAAACTAATCTTAAGTCTATCAGTACAGGCTATTTATCAGGCATGTGATGTGTAGTCTGTGACTGCCTCCTTGCAGCTACAAAGTTAGCATGAGGCATACAGATGACACCCCAAGGAGTGCTATTTTCCTATTGTTACACAGAATGCTCTCTACCTTCCATCCTAAAACAAGAGTAGAGAACGGTTTGTCCTCACCAAATCATTTAAAAACACAGCATGCATTTTGATTAGTTGGAGAATAATTACCACTTGAATTCGTAGCAAAAAAACAGTGCATGGAACGGAAGGAGGTTTGGAATATCACTCATAGTGTGAAGGTCTGCTTTCACTGTCAGCCAGATCTATGTAAACACTCAAGTAACCACCTCTGAACCATTCATTTTCTTAAAGACACCAGTGCAAAGTAATAGCTTAAAATATTATTGTTGTTTTTTTTTTTTTTTTGTCACAGGTAAGTGGTTCAGTGAGTTAAAGTCTGATGATACAACTCCTGGAAATACCATCGTTCACTGCCTAGTAAAATATTTCTGAGAATCACTAAAGTGGAGGATGATGAAGGTAAGGCTGGCCAAAATGTCCCCTTAGATGCAGGTCAGTGTGAGAATATAGGAATACTTCAGGCTAAGCAAAACTAAATCAACTCTGTGTAACAGCTGTTGCAGCTGTAGTGTCATTTTGCTGCTTTGCCTGTACAAATAAGGCCACTGCTCCTGGTTATAGAGAAATAATTGTGTGGTAGAATGATTTTATAGCATGATTTTCCTGCTATAACAAGGAAACTAAAATAAACAAGAAACTAAAATACAATCTTCATCACTATCCAACTTTGAATTTTTAAATAAGACAATTAGGGGTCTCAATGCTGAATTCTTAATGTATAAATTACTGTTTGCATTTCTGGGGATAGTAGAATTTAAGTAAAATGTACGTAGCTGCTGCTCAGCAACGATACAGGTTTTACAAAGAAGACCATGCAGCACACTGAGATGATTGCTTTTGTAGAAAATCCTATTGTCTTCAATCAAAAAGATGTTAGCTGGTCAGAATACAAACTCTTGAAGAGCACTGCTTGCTGCTGGTCTCCAGCTGGACATCAAGCCTCTAGAACATAGAGCTGTCAGGGTGAACACAGGCCTGACTCACAAAGAAAGCACTTTGAACCACTGATTTCTAACTAGAGGATGCTGAGATACCACAGCAGCAGCCCTTTGAGGCCTCTCAGTATAGTTCATTTCTTCAGGAGAAGACCAATTTCAAGGCAAACTGGTTGGAAGACAGTTTGTTCCAGTTATGCTCTTTTTGATCCAAAATGCACGTGCTGGGAACTCTCTGACATGAGTACCACTCTTGACTGCTCTGTGATCATGGTGCTCCCTGCAGTTTATAGCTGTACCCAAGTAACAGCCCAAACAAAATCTGTGACAGGAATTCTACTTTAGTGAAGTTCAGGGAGGAAAGCACTCAGATTTTGAGGAATCTCAAGAAAAAAATCTTGCCTGATTTATTTTTAAGTATCAATGTTATTTGCATTATTGTAATATATATTTTTTTTCAATAAACTTACTTGCACATCTTCTGTAAAATGCAGAATCACTACCTTAGAGCCAAACCTTAAGCATGCAACAAAAAAATGACTTATTTTTCCCCGTTTCCAAAGAAAAACACTTCTTTTTATAGACATGTTGTCAAAGTATATATTCTGTGCCAGACATGATGAAGAACTTAACTTACATTCAAGTTCATGGTTGAAAAGAATGTCAGCACACAGTCTGAACCTTGTTTTCTATTAGAAGGAGGAGGACAGCAAGCACCAACTTCTTTGTTTATTACAGTTTGTTATCCATGGCAACTGGAAGGTTGTTCAACTTCAGGCTTGTAACTCTTCAGGATCTGTGCTGGGCTTCATCTGCTCCAGTACTTTGACATATACACCGTGATGTTTAGTGGCAAGAAAAACTCCAGTCAGAACCTGTATAAGCACAGCAAATCTCATCTTTCTAAAGACAGGCTGAGAAACTGAGAGCCAGAAGCGCAGTAAGTTCTCTTTCCCTGGCAAGGGAGATGAAGTGTACCTAAAAAAACAAACAGTGGTAAAAACTTACTTTTTTACTTTCCTCCATCCAATTTAAGCATCGGTATTTAAAGTAAATAAAAGTACTTTGGGTAGATATTGTTCTCTCCCTCCTCTCCTAAGTTAAGTTCACCTGGTGGTACTGGAGCACTGAGTTCTCCCTCTGGTTAAATGCTCTAGAATCAGACCTACCAGGGAGTTTGGGTACTGAGCACTTCAGAAACATTTAGCTACCCAGCCAAACACCACTAAGAAATGTTCACTGCTCTGGGGGATGGGGAGCCTCAATTTAAAATGCCCACATGTATCATGCATAGCTGGCAAGGTTCCAAGCTAAACTCTCAAATGTTTTACAGTACTCTAGTTCAGTTTTGTAGATCTTTTTCTCCTGTTTGGAAGCATACCTCTTAGGTACCAGATGACTGGTACAAATCACCTTCCACACAGTAAAAGCTTTCAGGACAACACTGTGTGCATAGACTGAAAATTCACATAGTTTAAACTGAGAGCTAGAAATATAACCAAATTTAACTCACTGCAGATTGATAAGACATACCTGGCTGCAAGGCTTCCATTCACAGGGATAGCCATGAAAATAGGGTAGAGACTACCCACAACAGCACCTATTAATCCTCCTCTGACTACAGCACAGACTTGGCAGTCTAGCTCACCTGCAGGACAAGCAAAGCATTTCATTGTCAGTATCCACATAACTCTATCATATTGTAAGCTGCATGCAACACAGAAACAGGCACTCTGCAGAATTGACCACACTGTAAAAGTATTGCAGGATTTTAATTTTTATTTTTTTTCCCTTTTTTTTTTTAAAGACCTACTTTTGCATAATAAAACAACTCGCATTCCAGTGTGATGGGTAAACAACAGTGGACACTAAGCACCGACAGCACTGCTCTGGCACTCCCCTTGCTCAGGACAGAGGGAGAAAATATGATGGAAAGAATGCTCACAGAGTGATAAGGACAGGGAGTTCATTCACCACGTACCATCACAGGCAGAACAGTCTCAGCATAAGAGAATTAATGTAGCAATGAGCAGTAAGGTAACAAACTAGAGCGTTGAGAACCAAAAACAAACTAAACATGTCCCACAGGCTGCAGCTCCTGCCTGGGACTCTCCATGGGCTATGCCTCCTTCAGGCTCATCCATTGCTGCACTGTGAGCTCTTCCTTGGCTGCATGAGATCTGCTCTGCATGGTGCCCCTGGGCTGCAGGAAACAGCCTGCTCTACCAGCAGCCTCTCCCAAGCTGCAGGGAACAGCTTCTCCATGCCTGGAAAACCTCTACACTGACTTTTGGGGCTGCAGGGCTGCTTCTCTCCTATTTCTCACTCCTCTCTCCCAGCTGCTGTTGCACGGATTTCCCCTCCCTTCAATCCACTCTCTCAGAGCTGCACCCAGTGTTGCTCATGGCTCAGCTCTGCCCAGCAGAAGGTCCCTGTGGGAGCTGCTCTGACATGGGGCATTGCTGGGCTCTGCCACTCCTGCAGCCCTATTACCAAAACCCTTGCCATAAACCTGCAGAGAATTTATCACTCTAAAACTGACCTTTAAATGAAATGGTACAGATAGTGAAAACCAAACTGCTTTGTTGTACTTCAAATGCCAATTTCACATGAGAGTAAAGTACTAAAAATCAGGGAGGTCTAACAGGAAATAATTATGTACAAGTAAAAATACACATACCTCTCTCTCCCACTCACAACTTGAACAGCTCACTGCTGTCCAACATACTGCATAATGTTTTTGAAACCCTGCTTTACCAATTAAGGCTTTCAAGATTTGCAGAGAGGAACAGCTCTTCCAGTGTTCAATGTGCACAGAAAGCAAAGGCTTTTTGATAACAACAAATTACGTTTTACCTGAAAATAGAGGGTCACGCAGGAAAGTATCATAAACTGCCACTGTTGAAATAAATGGAACAACAGCCATTGGCAAAGCAGATATTATGGCAGCCTTTCTGATATTTAGGATCCTCCTGAAGAAATTATTTGCTGTTAAGCCACATAAGCTTGCATTTCCTGCAAGGAAGTATGATCCATGATTACAAAGGTTCCTGTAAGAAAATAATAATAATAAAAGAAGTCTCTTCAGGCAATGAAAAACATAAAATTGCTTTGTTTATTCAGTGCTGCAGTTCATTTCTGAGTACTCTACAATAAAAAGTCCAAAGTACTGCTTTTACAGAACCAGAGCTACTATTTTCCCCATCATAACAGAGGGACTGGATTCTGCTATCATGTTTTTAACATACAGCTCAGAGCAGTTACTGATGGTGAAATGTATGGTGAGAGACAGTCTTCATTTAATAGCTTGACAAACACTTCCTGCTGCATTCATCACAGCAGGTAGTGGAAAGGAGGAATGGAAACGTGCCAGTTTTACAGTCCTGAGGAGAAGTGAGAATTCATCTCACTTGCAGAGGGAAGTTGTGCATTCCTTATCATTATGCCCGTCACTGTCAGTTGATCAGTGAAAATAATGCTTTGTTTGGGTTTCCACAAACCTAAACATTCCAAGAATAATAATTATTGCTAGTCAAAGCAATTAATGGAACTGCACCTCAGTTCTGAGGCTGTGCCAATAACGGTATGTTAAAAGTGTATTTTTAAGTGTGTCATAAATTATGTTTACTGCTGAAAGCCACAAAGATAATCAAATGCTTCACCAATCACAAAACACGCTAGGGCAAATGTCATACCTATTTGCAAAGTTATCAAATGTAACAATCTCTACAGATTTAGCAGCTAATATGTTATTTTAAAAATGCACCTACTTAAAACTCTTCTACATTAAAATGGTCCAGAGGAAGGCCACTAAGATGATCAGAGGGCTGGAGCACCTCTCCTGTGAAGAAAGGTTGAGGGAACTAGGCTTGTTTAGCTTGGTGAAGGAAAGGCTCTGGGGAGACCTCATTTTGGCCTTCCAGTACTTGAAGGGAGTATATATATATAAACAGGAGGAATGGCTGTTTACAAGGGTGGATAGTGATAGGACAAAGGAGAATGGTTTTAAACTTAGACAGGGGAGGTTTAGGTTAGATATTAGGAGGAAGTTCTTCGCACAAAGGGTGGTGACGCACTGGAACAGGTTGCCAAAGGAGGCTGTGGATGCCCCATCCCTGGAGGCATTCAAGGCCAGGCTGGATGTGGCTCTGGGCAGCCTGGTCTGGTGGTTGGTGACCCTGCACATAGCAGGGGGTTGGAACTGGATAATCATTGTGATCCTTTTCAACCCAGGCCATTCTATGATTCTGTGATTCTATGATTAATGCTTAGAGTAACACTGAGCACTCATAAACCATATAAAACATTAGTAGATTTAAGTGCTGATTCTGCAAAGCTTTAACAACAAAAGCACCTGACAGTCAATGACACCAATTATTTCCATTTTGAATAGGACAGTACTTTCATGCCTGGTACATATCAGATTTTCAAACATGAACCTATGCTACTCACAATTCAGTTATGATGTTACGCAGCACAGGAACCTACCTGGTCAAATATTGTTCCTGCTCTTATTTAGGAGTCACAGTGCATTTGTTTGTTTGCTTTAAGAAATGGACCTGTTTGCTTTCCAGATCACCATTCTCACAGTTCTGAATGTCATTTAAGGACCGTCTCCAGAGCATTTTCTGAAAACGAGCCATTTTATTGCTCCATTTACAACCACAGGTAGTGAAATGCATGCATGCATGCATACATGCAGAGCACTGAGATTAAAATTTACCAGTGTATTTGAGAATCCAATTAGAGCACAACAGCAAAATCTCATCAGTCTTACTGATATACAGAATAGCTGCACAGCACAAAAGGAAAGAAAGGGAGAACTGGAGAGTCATTTCTGTACGGTTTAATATCAGCTGTCTATTGTTAAAAACACAATCTTTGGTGAACATGAACTATCAGTTTGCAGCACCCTTCCAGCTGTCAGTGATCCACCCAATAGGGTATGCAAACTTCAAGGCCTGCTAAGGTAGCTTCAAATGAAGATTCAGGCCCCCACAACAGAACTGTGACAAGGGTCAGGGTGTTAGGATAAGGCCCTACACCAGAGGGCACTGGGCATGGAACAGGCTGCCCAGGACAGTGGGCACAGCCCTGAGCTGTTGGAGCTCAAGGAGCATTTAGACAATGCGCTCCTGGCATGGAGTTTGGGTTTTGAGTGGTCCTGTGTGGAACCAGGGCTTGGACTCAATGTGTCCCTTGTAACTTGAGATATCCTGCAATTGCTATGACAGCTGTTTCTTTCCGAGTCCCAGCAATCTCTAGGTACTGCAGTTTCTATCAAGAGTTACTTGCCTTCCACTTAGTTCCCAGTTCTGGGGAAGGAGATGTGTTTTAAGTTGTGTATAAGCACAGCAAATCCTACAGAGAGCTACATCACTGTAATATGAGAGATAAAGCCTTGGTGTTATCTTCTCTCACCTGGGTGAGGAGACCCTGTGTTACTAGCTGTAGTTTGCTCAGCCAGCAATTTAGTCCTATTAGTTTAAAATTAATAATAATTAAAAAAGCTTTTCATTACTTTGAATTATTCAGACAAGATGTATGAAAGATACCTATGTGTCAACCAGCTCACGTCCAGTCAGGTGCAGTGAAACACATTATAAAACACTGGTGTCTATGAAGCCCAGAGGCTATTTAGCTATTTTTGTGCTGCACAGTGCCCCTGCTGATGAGCCTGGCCTATGGCTCTGGTCGATTTGTAAGCACCACCTGGCTTCCTCAGCCTCACCTTCCTGAAACAGGGAGCAGCGCAGAATGAAGCGGTGTGATGCTCACTCCATTCTGGCCCTAGGCCAGCCCTGCTCAGTGCATGACAACTCCAGCAGAACCACATAGGTATGTGCCTTATGCTCTCCAGCATTTCAGTTTCCTAGAAAATGCATGACTGCATGAAGGCTCAGAGCCAGTCAGGGCTAATCAGCCATCTCCAAACCTTAAGCACTGGGGAGCACATGCCAGAAACCAACTGAGCAGGACCACTGAGACATAACCATATTTGAGGAATACAAAACAAGTTTTCTCTTCTGGATGATAAGAAGCTTCTCTGCAATTCAGTATTTTTGTAACTGTGAGGAAGGTTTGCAATACAAAAGAAAGCAAAGAGAGAACAGTCTCCAAAAGACTTTACATGTTTGATACAGTTCATTCATTTCAGCAGCACTTACTGATCTGATTTAGGAAGCTCATTCAACAACTTGTGTATGATTTCCACCCGCTTCACTCTCTCCAAATATAGTCTTCGCTGTGGTGAATCTAGTTCAAGAAATTCTCTTCCTGTCATTTTGAAGTCCTGAATCATAAGGAACAAAGGAATGTAATCAAAGTTACACACCCCCAGCATGCATCAAATGAACATTTACATTCCTTTGCACTATGCAATCAGAAATGCATTTCCTATTTTTTTGTGGCAGCTATCAAATATAAAACGTGCAATCCAGCTCCAGAAGTCTATGATATTTTTGACTGTGTGAACCCTACTGAACTGCTTTCTTTAGCAGGGAGTGTTGCAGATGGGATTTGACAACGGTTTTGAGCCAACTTAAGTGCTCACTTTGATCACTCCCCAGGCACCAGCTCCACAGCATCTCCAGCCCTGAGGGCCAGGCAGCATCCTGCTGAACTCACACAGATGGAAACCACCTGGAGGCAATGAGAGATGACAGGGTTGGCCTTAAGTTGCACCAGGGGACTTTCAGCTTGGATATTAGGAGAAGTTTCTTTTCAGAAAGAGTGGTGAGGCGTTGGAACAGACTGCTCAGGGAGGGGGTGGAGCCACCACCCCTGGAGGTGTTCAGGAAACACGGAGATGTGGCACTGAGGGATGTGGTTACTGGGCATGGTGGGGATGGGTTGGATATATATATAACCATATTGTGTAAAGATTTAAAGTAATCATAATGATATCTACTCTCTGCTTTCACATGCCATCACTAATGGCTTTTTTTTATTGGTGCTCCTAGCCAGAGATACCACATATCAAGTCAGAAAGCACAAAGTTTTTTGTTAGGCATAGTACGTAGTGATTTAAAAGCTTTTTTAAGGCATTTTTTTTTCCAATGAATGGAGAATTACCCAAACTTAAGTTGTCCAGCTGTAAGTGGCTTAAGTTTATTTTCTAATTTGAAAGCTATTTCCTGAAGTCCAACTACACAACTCTATCTTATAAATACCTAAAGCACAGAAGTCAAGGGACGGGGCTAGGCTCTTTTTAGCAGTGCCCAGCAACGGGACAAAGGGCAACGGGCACAAACTGGAACACAGGAAGTTCCATATAAAGGTGAGGAAGAACTCTGTTACTGCGAGGGTGACAGAGTATTGGAACAGGCTGCCCAGAAAGGCTGTGGAAAGATTCAAGGCCCATCTGGATGCCTTCCCGTGCAACACACTGCAGGGCACCTGCTTTAGCAGCGGGTTGGACTCGATGACCTCCAAAGGTCCCTTCCAACGCCTTCTGTGATTCATCTCAGACTGGGATACAGAAACAGGGAACGCAGTGACAGAAGAGCAGCGCTCACCTGGGGTCAGCAGGTCCAGCACAAGATTTGAAGTCTTGAGTTTGGGTTGAGGACACCCACACCTGTTTGCGTGGTAAATGGCACACGTAAGAGGAAACACTGCGTTACCGACCAGTCAGTGCCCCCAAGCAGAGCCGCGCTGCCCGCTTCCCTCCGCCGGCTACCCAGCAGCCCACCCCCCCCACTGCCTTTCCCTCTCCACACCTGGGGTGACCTCAAACCCCCCTGAAGCCCCACGCGAAGCCCCAGTCCGCCCGCCCGACTCACCGCGCCGCCAGGCCCCGTCCTTACACCGCAGCCCCTCCCACCTCCTGTACCCCCCCTATGGGCGCCACCATCTTGCCCGCGATCACGTGAGCGGCGTTTTCAAGAGACCGTCTCTGATTGGGGCGTTCCCCGGGCGGCGCAGCACGGCGGCATCCGATTGGCTGCTTCGTGTGGCGGGCGGGGGGTCAGCGGCCGGCCCGGCGCGCGTTGCTAGGGGCGGCGGATGGCGGCGGCGGTGGCGGCGGTTCCTCCATGGAGACGGGGCTGAGCGGGACCCGGCAGCCGGCGGCCCAGACGCGGGGACTCCCCCTAGCGGAGCGCGGAGCCTTCCATGGGGGGAGGTCGAGTTCTCGGGGTAACCCGCTGACCCCCTACCCTCACCCGGCCCCATGGCCTCAGGCCCCTCGCCCTCTTCCCGACCCTTCCTCAGCCCCCGCCCGCTCCCCTTTGCCTTCCTCCTCCGCTTTGTGCTGCGCTGCCCGTCCCCGTCCGACCCCGCCTGCATCCTTCCTCCATCCCCTCAGCCTGTCCCCCTGCGATCTTGTCTTCTCCCCTGTCCATCCCAGCCTTCTCCGCTCCAAAAAGCACCAGGCAGCCCCTTTCAGACCTGGAGACGCGAGGGGTTGGGAAGGCGGGACAGGCAGATCTCTGATGATGTTCACCCCCCTTCACACGTTCAGTTTTCATCTCCTAAAGAAGACGATGTGAAGCCAAAGCCTTGTGCGTGCATCCCGGCTCCCTGTGTGGGAAAGGAGAGCTCTCAGAGCCTGCTCACTTTTTTCATAGCTTTTTCCTAACGAGATAGATGAGGAAAATCTATCCCTGTTCTGTGTCTCTCTTTTTGTTTTTCCAGAAAAAGGGAGAGAGAGGGAGAGAGGCTCACGTCGATGCCGACCAGCTGCGCTTCTGAGTGGGAAACTCTGGACTGATCTAATGGCTGGCTCTTTCTTTCAGTGATCCTTCATTATCTCTGAAAATGAACCTTTTCTGAAGCTCTTCTCCTCATTCTCCTTATCCCTCTTTGGCGGGGCAGCTGCTGTGCGAAGGAAGAAATGGCACGAAGTAAATGACTCCGGTACAAAGCGATCTGCTTTGCCAATGTGCCCAGTGAGCAGCACTGTCACTTTAATAATTCCAGGTCGAGGGATTGCTTTCCTCCTTTTCAATCCTCTCTTTTAATACATGGGAGGATCAGAGGGACGTTAAAGACCGTAAGGCTGGGTGGCTTGCAGATAATAAAAATGAAAGTGACTGGCCGGTGATTTCTGTTGGGTAAGAGGGTGATATTGGAAGGCTGTTGTCTGGTGAGGAAAAAGGGACCTTTTTAGTCTGCTGTGTGATCAATACATAGCTAGCAAAATCCGTTCAAGAAGTGAAAGAAGTTTAAAGAGTCACTTTGGATTGCTTTTTGTCTTGCTCCTTATTTGGATTATTTGGGAGTTTTTGTCCTGCAAATAACGTGTTCTTGAACATGTACAGGTGGAGCATTAAGACAGCTGCCTAGAGATGGACTGTGCCTTAATTGTATTACTTAAAATCTTTTAATTTTCAAACTTTGCTGCCGGAAGAGGAGTTACAATAGGGTTTTTGTATTGTCAAGGAGCATTTTCTCTTGTATTTTTATAGAATCAAATATATTTTAAAGAAATTGAAAGCATCTCTTAAACATCCGAAAAGCTTTTTTTCCCCCTTTTTTTCTTATTTGTGGGAAACATCGGAAATCCAATACAAGAAAAAACAGCAAGTATTGCTGGAAATGAAGACTGAAGCTGCATTTCCTAACTGAACTGTAAAAGTGTTTTGCACTAGATAGCCAGTTCCTGATCTCGCACTGCTCCATCGTTAATACCTGTAAATAAGTGCTTGCAACCAGATTCAGAAGTAGGAAGAAGAATGCCAGTCAAGAAGAAAGGTGGGCTATGAAGCTTCCTATCTCATTTTGCATCTCCATTGTGTTAGATTGTTGATTTCTGCTACCTATAGTAGTTTGAAATTAAAAGAGCTTTGCTGGGGGATTGAAATTGTTTTTCTTCTGCGCTGAAAACAGGAGGAAAATCTGTGCGCTTTACAGTAGGAATGTTTAAATGTCATGGTTTTAAATGTGTCCAGTCAAATCTGGCCTTAAGTTTTTATTTTGTAAATATCAGCCCTCAGAAATCTTGAAGAGGCACCAAGGGGAGAGCTTGGTGCTTGTTGTTGTGAGAAGCCTCCCTTACAAACACTGATGACTTTTCAAATCATGGCTTTAGTCTGTTTTCTATTCTTTACGTGTTTGGTGGGTAAAGATCAGCCATCAGAAGCAGGGTAAGCAAATAACAAAATTTCAGTGCTATTTTTAAATAAAAGTTCCAAAGTTGTGTTTTGAAGAAGATTTGAATATGTTTTTTTTTTTTTTTTCTTCTTTAATTAATTTTGATTTGCATTTCTTAATCCAATATAAAAGTAGTATATCTATAATTGTAGTATGTTGCAAAGTCTGTGATCAGAGCAAGTATAAAGCAGCTTTGGAAAATGTGCTTTCCAGTGTTCAGACAAGAACTGGGGCAAATTCTTACTCTGAAAGCACTTGTAGACCTTGGGTTGTGTTTGGTTCCCTGAAAATGTGGTACCTGTTTAAAGTTTCAGAAGCTGCCAGTGGAATAAATGACAGGTGAGCCTTTTCTATGCAGCTCAGCTCTCCAGCTGTCCTTGGAGTTGATACATCCCTTGGTTTAACTCAAAGCTGTGGGGGAAGGAACAAAAAGTGAACATTTGACAACAGGAAAGGGGATGTAGTTAATGTGATTTCTCATTATTTTCCCTCTAGATAATACACCCTCAGTGTTAGTTATGAGTTGACATTTACCATGTAAATAGTAATAAAAACACATGATTGCTGGCAGTGTTTTCAAACTAATAACAATGAATGAGATTGTTGTGATTCTGGTTTAATAGATGACAGTGCAGAAACAAATTTTCAAACCTGAACAAATTTTTCAAACCTAAATGGATCATCATCATTCATGGAATTACTTAGAATTGTATGCAGTAATGATGGGAATGTATGTGGAGGAGTAGGACTCTTAATTCATACTGCTGTGCTGCACACCCTAATGTACTTTGAGGGCTTGCCTACTATACATGTTCACAGATGGAGAAGTATGACTGCCTTCTTGGTTATTATATTAACTTTGAAACAGATGATTGACACTGAGGATATCTCTGTGCCTGATGTTTTGCTGCATTTCAGTTTCAGAATAGTTGCTGCAGGATTCTGGGGGTGAAGTCATAGGGGCTCCTTTATGCAGGAGATTAGATTGGTAATCTAATCTGGCCTTAAAAATCTGTGCGTTTCTTGTTTGTTTCTAGACAGTCTGTTTCAGTCTGAATGGACATCAGGGCTTTAATTTCCCCTTCTGTCATAGAATCACAGGATGGCTTGTGTTAGAAGGTACCTCAAAGACTGTCTGGTTCCAACCCCCTGCCCAGTGAGAATACATGCTTTGACAGCTTTTAAATGCAATCTCAAGAGACAGAAACGGCCTCTGAAAGACTTTGTGTTATTATATAGAATCATAGAATGGCCTGGGTTGAAAAGGACCACAATGATCATCCAGTTTCAACCCTCCTGCTATGTGCAGGGTCGCCAGCAACCAGACCAGGCTGCCCAGAGCCACATCCAACCTGGCCTTGAATGCCTCCAGGGATGGGGCATCCACAGCCTCCTTGGGCAACCTGTTCCAGTGCCTTACCACCCTCTGTGCAAAGAACTTCCTCCTGATATCTAACCTAAACCTCCCCTGTCTAAGTTTAAAACCATTCCCTCTTGTCCTATCAGTATTGGCATACTTAAGTTGCCAGTGTGAATGTATTTGAGTATTACAAATGTATTTAAGCATGCAGGATTACAAATGTTAGTGAATCAGCAGTTTTACTATTAGCTTGTGCTACATAATTTATGGCATTTTTGGCAAAAATTAAGCCTAAGACCATGAATAGACTTCCTAAATGTAGTTAAAAGCTTTCTGACAACTTGAAACACACTATCATTTGGGGAAAAACAAACAAACAAACAAAAACCAAACCAAAAGCCCAACTATCTGCTTTTGTTACAAGTAACCCATACTATTCCTATGGCCAAAGGAGACTGAATGTGTTTTCCCTGTATTTTCTGTTCCCTTTTGTTTGCTTTATTGGCTTTTGCCAATTTTGTGTCCAACTTGTTTCCATCTTCTGCTGATGATTTATGTTCCCTTTGTTGTCAAAAGTATTTGGGAGTTCGCATCTTCTGTCTTCCTCTCCCATGCCATCTGTAGACATCTCAGTGGGACACTTGCTTCTAGGCTGTGCAAAATCATGCACTGCAATAGCAGCAGTAAGAACGGGACCATCCTTCTGCATTTCAGAACTTCTCTATGTGATACTATTTTGAATTTGATCAAAATACCTCCTAAAATTGGTAGCCCTGGCCTCTTTAGGCAGGACAAATAGTTTAATCGTAACAAAATTTATAATTTAGAGGAAGCTCTGATTTCTTATGTATGTGGAGAAAAGAGCTTGCTGCTGATTCTGATCGTGTTTATGTCAATTTGTGATTGCCCTTGTCTGATAAGCTGGAGTGACATGATTTTCTCTTCTCAGCTTACTCTGGAGGGAAATAGGGTCTTCACAGATAAACTAATGTATGTTTAAGTACAACTGTTCATTAAATACTTAAGGAACTTCATGAGGAAAACTTTGCTTCAAAATGAAGTAGTACTGACATCCAGAAGAATCTTACTAAAGACAGGATAGCTTCTCAAATAGTTACTTAGCCCTTTTGATTTTTGTTAACCCTAAAGCAATGTATTTAGACTTGCAAGTGCATGAATGTTGGTTTCATGCACAAAATACTGAATATTGTAAAATGTTACTGCACCTCGTTCACATCTTTCACAGTGACAGAAAGAGCAAAGTAGATCCACGCTCCTCTATGAAGGAGAGACCAGATCCCAGTCTTGAACCCTGCTTGCAATTGACATGGATGTGGCAAAGACCCCCACATAGATTCATTAAGGTTGGAAAACACTTTTAAGATCACCTAGTCCAACCATCAACCCATCCTACCATGGTCACAAGCCATGTCCCTCAGTGCTATCAGAGAGGAATTTTTTTCCTAACATCCAAGCTGAACCTCCCCTGGCTCGACTTATGGCCATTACCTCTCCTCCTATTGCTGTTACCTGGGAGAAGAGGCCAACCCCCACCTCACCATCACCTCCTGTCAGACATTTAAGGTCTCCCCTGAGCCCCCTCTTCTCCGAACTAAACCTCTAGATGCTTGGCTGCACATAGAAAGGCATTCTGGTTCTTCTTGGCCTATAATAATTTATTTTTCATCATACCTCTTGTATAAGGAAATGCTTTCAAGGACAAATTAAGGCAACCAACAGGAAGAGTTAAAAAGCATTGATCTGATCCTCAGTGGACTACAGCTGCCATTTAGGAGAATCCGATAGATGTGCTTTAGGAAATGCTGATTATACAGTGATAATGGTAATTTTATGTGTCTGGTCTGTTGAAAAGAAGAGGTCTAAAAACAACTGAGCAGGAATTCTTAAAGCAAAATATATTATGGGCCAGGAAATGTAGTTTCTGTTAATGTTCTGGAGATCTTTGTGCACTATGTTTCTTTTTAAATAACAAAATTTTAATTTAGAATTGTAACTTTGGGTGCTCAGAAGTGTTAATGGACACAATTGCAGTCTCCTTACAGCCTACTAAGCAGGAAATCCAGTGGTATTGAAGTAGGGGATTTTTGTTTCCCTTTTCCTTCTAGTAAGCATTACAGGCTGTTTGTCATTTCAGCTGCTGAATAAATGTTCTCAAATAAGTACATGGCTAAAAAGCCACATTTTTCACCTTAGTTATTACAGTGAATTGATGGGAAGCAGTGCAAAGATGAAGGCTAGCTTTTCAGACAGGGGAAGGAACAGTTTTCCAAGAGTGGGACATGTAACAGAAAATTGCTCTCTAAGGTTTGTAGAGGGAGCACAGGGTAACCACACTGACCAGCACGGCTCAGTGAGATGATGCTCAGCCTCTCCTTTAAATTTTAGTGAGAGGAAAAAAAAAAATCTAATTTTCTGAGGTCTTTATGAGAGCTGACGTGTGTTCTGTGAGTGCTATAAATTAACAGCATTCATTATTTTTGTGGGGAAAAGTGATATAAATTGTACTGTTAGTCACTAGAATTGGAAGCAACCATACTGAGACAAGAGGCAGCTGTGCATCCTCTCCTCAGTTCCCGTTAAATGCATATTGCATTCAGTGGAAGCAATGCTGTTTTGCATGATAAGCACTTTTTTTTTTCCTTCTCAGCCTCCCTTCTTTCCTTCTGAATTTGTTCCAGATGGCAAAGCTAGATGGGAGAGAGTGACCACAGGGGGAAAAAGCTGAATTCGTACCTGGTTGCCAGATATGATATAAGGGAATTCATCCCAGAAATAATCAGGGCTGCCTTGTCCTTGGAAGCTATTGGAGAGGGTCCAGAGGAGAGCCACAAAGATGATCAGAGGGCTGGAGCACCTTCCCTATGAAGACAAGCTGGGGGAGCTGGGTTTGTTCAGCCTGGAGAAAAGAAGGCTGTGGGGTGACCTCATTGCAGCCTTTCAGTACCTAAAGGGAGCCTACAAACAGGAGGGGAATCAACTCTTTGAAAGGGTAGATAACTGCAGGACAAGGGGAAATGGTTTTAAGTTGAAGAAGGGAAGTTCTTAACAAGAGAGTGGTGAGGTGCTGGCAACTGCACAGAGAGGTTGTGGGTGCTCTGTCCCTGGAGGTGTTCAGGGCCAGGTTGGATGGGGCCCTGGGCAGCCTGGTCTGGTATTAAATGTGGAGGTTGGTGGCCCTGCCTGCAGCAGGTGGGTTGGAGCTTGATAATCCTTGAGGTCCCTTCCAACCCAAGCCATTCTATGACCTGATGGGTGACAACAGTACTAACCAACATCACTGCAACCTACTGGAGCAATTCCAGCCTCCTTCCAGCTGACTTCTTGGTGTTGTGCACTACGCTTTTGCACTTGGGGATGGATACATGCTAAGCTGTGCTTTAAAAAAAAAGTAAAAATCCCACCTCAAGTAACCCAAACAGATTTACAGATGTAATTGCCAAACATTCTAAACATAGTTTCCTGTTGTTGCCCAGAGGGGATGTGTTTTGTTCATCAGCTCAGAGTCTCTACTCTGATACAAAGGTTCTGGGTAAATGTGAACTCGTACTGTGTATTTTGGTTATAAATAAAAGCACAATGTCATTCCATTCTGTTCCACTTTATATCAGTGTTACTGGATTAGATCTGAATTTTCTTAATTCCACATTGTTTTCTTTCATGTGAAACAATACTTC